TTTTTATTTAGAATAAAATATAGAACATGATTATGTCTATGAAATAATAACTAATGTATTCTATACACTAATTTTTTTGGTGTATACTATATATCATAAAGATTTATTATCAACATTCATTTTGACAATTTTAAAGTTACAAACTTAATAGGAAATAATAAGAGAATAAGAAATTATCAGTTTTCCAAGTTCAAGAAATCAAAAGAAATTTTTATATTAATTTAGGGATAACATTTTAAATGATTTTCCAAAATAATTAATTAAGATTTCTAGTACTTACTATCTCCCAGAAGATTAAAGAAATTAAACTGAAATTAATTCAGCTGGTGGTATTTATAATAAATCTTCAACTCTTACTGAAGTAGCTGATGGATCAATGAAACAATGTTTTAATTGTTTTCAATAATAAAGTAATACAGTATATATTCCATGTGGTCATGGAGGAGTATGTTCAAAATGTGCATTTGATTGGTTCAAAGAAAGAAAGGAATGTTTAATATGTAGAAGTGTAAAATAATATATATTAATGATAAATTAGTAAATATAGGCTATATTGAAAATCGTTTAGGCAGATGATCAAAGAGTCAAAGTAATAGATATAATTGCATTAAATTGATATTATTACTTAATATATATAAATTTTATGAAATAATTGAATCTTCTTACTATAGTTTTATATTTCTTAATATAATATCTATATATATACATTCTTAAGTCTATCAATAATTATATTAATAAAGAGATATTATTATATCTTATATATGGTAAAATAAATTATGGATTATTAATATAAAAAATGGAAATTATTGATTAAGAGTCTCGCATCCTAAGTTAAAGAATATTAAATGAATTTCATATAAATGAAATACGAAACAATTTCATTAGTATTCTAGGAATAAATAAAACTCATTTTGGGTAATACCTCTAAAAACTATCTAAAGAATCGTTGATTTTACCAATCTTATATATACATTGGCAGAGAATAATCAAGTCTCATAATCTACTATCCAAGAATGTTTTAACATATTCGATGAAAATAAAGATGGTAAATTAGATTGGAATGAATATTTGAAGTTGTTTGTAGAATACATTAAGAAAGTGTAATGTCTAACATATTTGAAATCATTATCTTCTCTAGAAGAATAGAGCTAGTAATTAATTTCAATTAATAATCTCTAGATATCTCTAATAATTATAAATAGCCTTTTTAGCCTCTCCATTCAAATAATTATTTACCACTTAAAATTTATAATCAGTTGAATAAACTTTAGCATCTTTTGAAAATAGATCCTCTAATAAACATATCAAAAAATACTATTTCATAAGTAGAGATTCTTTTGAACCCTCATTACATCAAATTCATTAAGATCTAATTATTTTTTAAGACTTTAATATTTTACCAGCATAAATTATTTAAGTTCTCAAAAATGTATTATTATAAAGATTACCCCACGTAAAAATTAAAAAAATTGAATATGTTAAATAATTGATAGCCTAAATCATTAATAATGGATATTGTGATCATCTATTCAAATTACTCTTAATTGATGAAGATAAAGATTAATATTTAATAGATGAAAAAGATTAACATTAAATTTTAGGATTGCAAGCACTTACATTAATTGCAGCCACTATACACATCTATGAAATCCAAATACTCATTCCTATTTAAAGTATCTTATTAGTAGATACTATATTAAATATCATCTCTGAAACATAAAATGATCTCATTATTGAATAAGGATATATATTACTTGGACATCTAATATTATATGATAAAACATATTAACAAATATTATTTACTAAAAGACAAGCACTACTAGATATTTAACTTATAGATGATGAAAAGATATTCTATCATAGCTGGTTTATTGGATGTCTATTCTCTAGATATGAAAATCATTAAGCAACTAAATTTATGACTTTAATGAATACCTTACCAGATAACTTACTTTGGCTCTAGAGTATTATTAATTATTATTAATAATATGGATTAATATAATCTATTGAAAAAAATTAAATTAGAATTCAAATTCAAATTAATATGCTCATTATTATTTAACCTTTATTAGCTACATAACTACACTAAGATGTCCTTATGGCATTATTATCATAATTATAAAATTAAGCTACAGATAATAGATTTAAATTATAAATTTTAACTACTCTAAAAAAGATCTTTAAATTACCTTATCAATTAAATTATCAAAATTTTACTGCCTAAAATATCCTATTATCCAATAATCTATTGAATATATTAATGTAATTAACTGCAGATCCTAATTCATAACTTAGTTACAAAGCTAAAAAATTATTCTTTAAGACTTTATGTCTTGAGAATTCTGGAATACTCTTAAAATACTTATAAGAATCTAATAATTTATAGTCATTTTTATATGTTCTTGAAAGTCATTTTGTATAAAATGTTGATGCCAATTTTTAGAAATACTTTAAATATAAAATACTTACAATCTTAAGATTTATGAGTTAAGATAGTAACACATTCTAAATCCTATCTACAGATTAATGGTTCTTTAAATTACTCATTAAAGCACTTAATGATAATAATCAAATCTTTACTTCAAATAATTAAATTATGATTAATTGTTAATATGATTATCTTGTAATTAATGAAATTACTGAATATTGCATTACATTTAATCTTCATTTTTAACCAATGTTTAGATAAAAACCTTAATTATCCTATCAAGCTATAGAGATGATTTATAAAATACTGCCAAATTAATAAGCTATTAATGAAATTAAATAATATTTTGTTAAGCTTTTAGAGAATATTGATAAATATCAACCATTAATATTAAAAAAATACTTGAAACCTTTATATTTATCAGTTTGTGAAATAGTAACTTAACTTAATAATTTGATTATTTCATTAAATGATTTAATGAAAAATAATTAAGTTTTTCACAATAATTTTATTTCATTATTAAAATTCTTAATAAATGAACTTTCTGTATTTTAAGACTATTTAGTAAGTAAAAAGGAATTAATTGATGATACCTTATTAATAATTGGTACTGAAGCTACTTATGATGGATGTGTTGTAACAACTGTATATTTAAATACATATTAAAACTCATCAAAATGCAAGATAGTATTGAAATCTTAACTCACTTTATTAGAATTTGAAAAGCATGTTGAATAAGGTTTATAAACATCAGGACCACTTTTATACTTAGTAATCAATTAGAATCATCCTAATAAAATACCTTATGATGATTTTTCAATTATAGATGAATTATGCTTTAGAAAATTCAAAGAGTTAGCAGATTAATTTATAGAAACTTAATTTGGAAGTATCAAAGTATCTTAAGAGGTTATTGCTGTTGAACTTTATAGATTAAAGATGGAAGATTATTCAATGAAGAAGATTTATGAGATATTGAACAAAGGTTCATCCTATATATAATTCAAATAAATTCAAGATAATCAAATGTTATGGTTTTTGGAGAATAATTCTGGTATTTATTCAAAATAATTCAATAGACACAAAAGATAAAGGTTAGTAATTATAATAAATATTTTAATTAACTAAATTACCCTATACATATATAGAGAATCTATTTGATGTATTATTAATCCTAATATAATTACTAGTCTATTAATCAATTTTTTGATAAAAATAATCTATAATAGTAATATAGACAAATATTACAAGATGATTTTAAAGATTACTTAAAAGATATGAAGATTCCACACTTGTTAGGAGTTAAAATTGCTTCATTTTTATCAAGAAATGGATTAAAAAACCCTGTTGATTTTTAGGATTTTATTTGCTTTATTTCTCTATTTTATTAATAGAGGTAATTTATTTGATTTATAAAAAATTTAAGTTTTAGCGAAACAATTATTATGAAATTCACTTATCTTTTATATGCAAATAAAGAGGGTAAATTTGGAAAAGATTAATTGTGTGAATATTTGTAAACAATATTTGTAATTAATATATATATATATAAATTTAGGATATTTAAAACTAAGTTATAAATGAATAATAAATTAATGAATGGGGTTCAAATTTATTTTTGAAAATTGATTAAAATCAAGATGGTTATATTTCATTTTATGAATATCATGCTTTATTAAAAGAAGAATAATATCGAGCAAAACTCTTAGATCCAATTTGTGCACTATTTACAAATTTACCATTTCAGACTACATCTAATCGCTTCATTTTTGGAACACCTTTAAAATTATTTAGAAGTTGAAAAATAATAATATATATTTTTCATTAACATTTTGAAATTATTATTATTCTATATTAAACTTATATTAGATATAATATAGTATTTGAAATCAAAATAATAAATAGAATCACAATAGAATACACACAAATATATTTAATCAATAATTATATTCTAATAAATAATTTAGATATTTCAAATCAAATAATAAGTTAATATTCACACATATACATATATATATATTATCCAATTCTCTTACTTTTTTATATTCCTCTAATAAATTACATTAAATAAATATTTAAGATCTAAAAATAAAATAAATATAGGAAAAGTATCAATTCTCAATAATTCATAAATGATATCATTATTTTAATTATATTTCATCAATTCCAATAGCATTTTTACTTGATTGCATATAAATAATTATAAAATATTTAATAATTTTACTTTGTGATAATAATAACATGTCTTCTGATAAGAGCAATTAAATGATAATATATTTATGGTATTGAAATATAAAATAGAAAAAAGATACATAGATATTAAGTTTATTGCATATTTAATATAACTTTTGTTACTGGAAAAAAGAGTTAGTATTTTAAAGATAATATAGAAGATAGTTTAGTAATATATTTATGAGAATTAGATGATTAGATCAATTTTTAAATTAATTTAATGTATTCTATAATGCCATTATCCTTATACATTCTCAATTATTGTTTAAATCAACTCTATTATATAAACTCATTAAATGTAGCTAAAAATTTAAATTTATTCAAATCCTTTATTAATAAAATGAAATAAAATTCCCAATAAACTAGAACCTATTAAAAAGTTTCAAACATTAAAAAAAAGACTCTTATGAATATGGTATTCATTTTGGGATTTAAAATAAAACATGTAATTTCTACTCTCTATCCATATCGTTAGGCAGCCAAGCAATTAAATATCAAATATGCGGCAGCCAAAACTATCATAGTATGTCATAGAAACAATGTTATAAAACAAAAACTAGAGTTTAAATCCTCTTCAGAATGCAAGATTGTTTCTATAAATTCAAAAAAGTGCAAGATTACTATAATCACAAGGGTTGGAGGAGATGCAGTCTCTTAAATCTCATTTGAATATTCCTAGAAGTAAGAAGCATGAGATACATATAATAAATATTATATATTACTATCTTGTAGTGTATGAGCAATTCAAAGGAAATTTCTTCAACATGTCAGAGTATGATAAATAAATCAAAGAAAAAATTTGATAAATCTCATGCATAAATGAGAATTTCATTCTTGTTAAGCTTGAAATGATTTAATACTTAAGTATTATCCATACACACATATAATGAAAAATGTATTCATTAAACATATTGCTTTTATTACTATTTTTTTTAAATATTATTCAATAAATGAAATTTAATTTCTTTTACACAAAAGAAGACTTTAAAAATAAAAGCAATAAAGAAATGTGAATATTAAAGTAAATGATATTTTCTTATACCTCAACAGAATTCTATCTTAATAAATCATTCATAATTTATCAGTAATATTTACTAAATTTTTATTTATAATATTAATCACTCAAATTTGATTATATTATCTGATGTCATGAGAATTCTCAATTCATCCAATGTAAAATAGACTATACTTTAATATAATTTATGAAAATATACTTACTCATTAGTTATAAATTTATAAAAATTTATAGAAATCTAATACATCTAATTATATATTCATAATTTATGTAATGTTTTTGAAAAAGATTCTTAAACATATTTTAGATCAAATTAGAGAATTAGTAATTATCCTTCTAATAATTTACAATAATTATTTAATTATGTGTTATCAAAAATTTATATAATTAATTTATTTAATATTTAATCAATATTTTATAGTTCTAACTTTGCAACACAAATTATATTGTTGTTTTATTTATGTAAAAATAAAATAGTAAAAATAAGACACAATTAAAGATAAAATTAAATCATAAATCAAATAAATATAAAATGAATTTTAGATAATTAAAAAGGGAGAATATCAATTTAAAATAATAGAATTACTATATCCATTGTTATATTATGTTATTATTAAATAATTATTAATTTATTATTAACATATTTTAAATCTTGATTTAATTAACAATAATTAAAAAAAAAATTATTAAAGTATTCTCTTTTTTACATTTCCTAAATATTTTCTTTTATTTATTTATAATTTTCACTATTTAATCTAATTTTTTTGTGTATTAATATCAAGTAATTAAATTTGATTTATATTATTGTTATCAAATTTTATTTTATATAGCAATTAATAATATATATTATTCATTACTCTTTGATTTACAATAAAATAACAGAATTATAGTATGAGATTTCTATTCAATTGATCTAATTATCTTATTAGATGGATTGATACTCTTATTTTATTTATATATAGTTGACTTTGTATTCTGATTTTTTAAATGATAATGAGATATTCAAAATATTATCACTTAAATTGATAAAATAATATAATTAAAAATGGTTCATTTCAATCCTGGATCCATCTATTATTTTGATTTAGACTTGCCTGTAGAACAAAGATACTCATCACTTTTTCCAAAGTATGCCCTTTTAATTAGAAAATACTGTTAAATTTGGTTGGAAACAAATAATCCTTCTTAGGAACATCTAAATAATCTAAAAGTATTAAACTTTAAATGACTATTAGCAACTATTTGAGAATCATCCAGATAAAGAAATGCTTGAATTTGTTAAATATTTTGCTAAAGAATGTGGAATTGATGAGAGGTAATGATACAATTTTATAAGGTAAGCATAATTTTGTACATACAATTTATGTATGATTTTGGATTTGATGATTCTTTATCTATGGGATGCACAAGTATATTGATTAATCAGGAGAAACCATATATTGTGAGGAATCTAGATTGGGATTTCAATGATGTCATAAGGGCTTTAACAATAAATGCTATTTATATAAAAAATAAATAAATAGTATCCATTCATTTAGCAATAGTATCTTAATTATTGACTCCTCACACTATGTAATGAAGTAGTAATCATAAAATAGTAAGAACCAATCATTTGCTATCAGTTTAAATTTCTTGTGGCCTTAATATAAAGTGGAATAATAATGGTAAAGTGTTCTATAAAATGTCAATATACCTAGTATTGGAAGATTGATTTATCGATTATCAGTCTCTAATTATCAATATGATGATTTGAAAAATGTGCTAAAAGATATACTAGTATAGCATCATGGTTTATTGAATATTATTGGAAACAAAAAAAATTAATGTGCAATATTTTATATTAATGATTGGTTTAACACAAAAAAATATCAATTTTGTTAGGAAATCTAAAATAATGAAGATTATCTTGTATCTACAAATGGAGATTATTTTTAATTTAGTATTGAGAGATATACAGCTGCTTAATAAAACTTAAAAAAACAAAAAGATTTTAGTAATCCTATAAAAATTGTAGAGAATGTTGCTTTTCAGTATCCTAATTATAATGAAACAACCATTTTAACAACAATCTTAGACTGCCAATTAAAGTTACCATTTGATGTTTATATTAAATGAATTATAATTATAATAATATAGAATTTAATTCTAATTTATATATTTAAAGATAGATTGCTTATCTAATTAAAGAAGAAATGTTATAATTTGTAAAGAACAAGAAATCTCTATTAAAATTCAATCTATATCTAATAAAAATGAAATTAAAAGGAAGTAGAAAAATCTTTTGAAAATAATTATTCATAAACCAATTATTTATTTATATAGAAGTGTAAATTGCAATATGGATTATATAAATGTACATCATGATCATTTATGCTATATATTGTTAATAACAATCATAAATTCAAATATATAAATCACTATTTATATATGTTTGTAAAGATATTTTAAAGAAGAAATCCATATAATAATTCTTTTTCGCTTTACTTGAATTGTTGTATATAATTGAAAATTAATTAATACTATTATTGAGAATTAAAGTCGACTTACTAATATATATTAACTGACAATCTAATAATAATTAAATTTATTTAATTATAAAATTATTAAGTAGAATGATAGGATTAATAGTAATTTGATTTTAAATATCATTAAAATTAAATGATTAAAAATAATCAAAAAGAATATCTAATAATTAGTTTTAATCCTTAAAAATTATAGAATATGTAGATAAAAATAATAATGAGTATTTAAAGAAATTCAGTATAAAATTATATTTAAATAATTTGACAGATGATTATTGAAATAAAAAATAGCAAATAATATTAATTAAGAGTAAAAAATCAAAATATTGATCTAGCACCATCAATCAATCAAATCATAAGAAAATAGATTGCTTAATTTTCTTATCATGGTATAAATTAAATTATTTCTACATATCAAATTAAAAGATAGATTTAAATTGATTTTTGTAATAAATTCTTCTTTTTTATATTAATTATTTAAATAAACTATTTATTAGAAATAAAAATAAGATTCTATAACAATAAAATTCATTGTTTATATGTAAATATAAAATCTTGAAATCATGGATCCTTGGATTTCAAATAACAATTTAATAATCCTCCCTTACTGCATACAACCTTTACTAGTGATTTAGATAATCCAATTAATTTTTACTGGTGTCTCTTTGATTCTGGAAGATTAAAACTTTTTTTTTGAATAATATTCTTTTTGTATCTAAAAAATATATTCTTAGCAGTAGTATAGTTGATGGTGAGATAAAGTGAGGGCCTATAATAAAAATTAATAAAAACCTATTTAATTTTCCAATCCTTTTAAAACACTAATTTAATTAATAGCTTTTTCCTAATTTAAATATAATTAACATTATTAGAAAATGTTTGGCTTATGTTAATTTTAAAATTAAAATAAATCAAGATTTTATTTTTATTTTTTTTTACTTTGATTACTATTAATAATTTAGATATATATAAATTTTTTTCTTTTTTTACAGGATATGTTTAATTTCTTGTTTGGATTAAAGTATTTATAACTAATTTAAAAAAAAGGTAATACAGTTATTATAAAATCCCCAAATAAATACCTCTCTTAATAATCTTTATTATACATTAAACTAATATTTGCATCAATATTCTATTAAAATTCAAACTTAACTCAATTTTTGAAGTTAATAATAACTATAAAGCATTTAGAATGTAATATCATTATTATCGAATTAATATATTCTTAAAAAAATTAACCATAGTTTTATTACTTAATTTCAAAAATGAAAGATTCAAATTAATTTAAGATTTGCTCAAAATAGCAATTTAACTAAAAAGATAAAACTTTTTTGTTTTCACCAAGATTTAAGTTCAAATTATAAAAACAAAATTTAATATTGAATTTTTATTAGCACCTCATATTTAATTAAATAAATCCTATTTGATAATTCTTTAGAGTGTACTTATTAAATTATAAGTAATGTTAAAAATTTTAATTTATATAAATTATCATTTCTCTTGTTTTTAATACAGACAAGAACATAGATTTGAAAGTGACTTTTTATATGAAAAATAAAACACTAGCATTTGATTTATCATTCTTTTATTTTTGACAATATATTTAGTTTCTCATATTTTGTTTTGAATTAAGAATCTTAATTAAATAAATCATACATAAAATATTATATTTTATTTGTATACACATATATTTATATACTCAATTCAACTATTAATATATAAATATAATGTAAGAGATTAAATAAAAAGATTATGGTTCACATTTAATATAATTAAACTTTGAAATTAATTTCATATTCAAATTTAATTCACCATGAATTGAGAAATTGTGATAAAAATTTATAATTAATTTTATTCACAAAGAATATCGAGAAACATACGGACAAAACTTTACATTAAAAAAAATAATAATCTAGATAGATGGATTAAACATTATAGTGATATATTTTTTATATTTGAGAGTGAAATTCAATTATATATAGAATGAATGTGAAGAGATAGTATAGTAAATAGAAAGCTTAAAATGTAATGCATAACAGCATCTTTGGATTAAAAAAATAATTTTTTTTTTTGTATACAATTTGTTTGAGGTTATATAATATTTATTTTGAAAAAATATGATTTAATTTCTGATTACTTGTATAAATTTTATGGGAAGATAGTTTAAGAAGATAAATTTTATAATAACAATATTATAATCTTCCATATGGATGTTTATATTATTAATTCTTTGATGTTCTATGAATTTTGTTTTAAAGAACTAGATCAATATTCGATAATTAAATAACATATTTTTTCAGCAATCTAAAGTAATTTATAATTCTGTGTAGAAGAAGGAAAATAATTTCACCATATGTCAATTATTATTAATGGTTCTAAATTTAGAATAATATAAATCTAAAATTAGGCTCTATAATATGAATGTAGAAAAATGATTTAATAAATGATGTTTTTGAGAATGTTTAAAATTGGATAGGGAATGGAGAAGATTTTAGAGTAAATTATTGAAATATGGGGTTGAAGTTTTAATTTAACATAAATAATTTTAGTTTGATTTTAATTTTGAATCTAATAATGCTATTTTTTGATATTAATATTATATATTTGATTTTATATTAATAGTTATTAACAATCATAAGTTAATTTATTATAACACCATAAGGTTTTCAAGTTACATCATAATAGATATGGATTGCATCTAATTAGGATGTGTAAAATAGAAAATAAAGATTTGGAATTTAGTTTGTCATTTTGTAGTATTAAATGTGATTTTGAGTCTTGATTTTATGTAATATTTAAAAAAATAGATATGATTACATCTGAGATTAGTGCTGCATCCAACTAAATAAAAAGTAGAGCTGAAATAGAAGGCATTTACGAGGTTTATTCTAATTTATTAACAAAAAAGTGTAAATATGTTTGGACTGCTGAAGATGTTGAGAAATTGAACGAACAGTACGATTGTCAAATGGGGAACTGGAAATTGATAAGTAAATATTTGAATGGACCAAATCCCTTAGAGTGTATGATGAAATGGCAATCATTGCATCCAGATAATGTAATATTTTAATTATATTTAAGCCACTTTCGAGACAATTGTGGTCCTAAGAGGAGGATGAATAATTAAAGGAATTAGTGTAAAAGTATGGAAAAAAATGGAGTAAGATATGTACAGTTATGAATTGGAGAACTGGAAAATAAGTTCGAGAACGATATCTAAATTAACTATAAGGACATATAAATAATGAGAAATGGACTGAAGAGGAGGATAAAATAATTTTAAAACTATATAAAAAGTTTGGAACCAAGTGGAGCTATATCTCGACTTTTTTAAAAGGTCGTCCTGTAATATCCTTTACTTATTATTTAGGAAAATATGGTAAAGAATAGATTTTATGCCAATTTAAAAAGAAGGTATCAATCAGATCTTGAAGAATCTGATGATGATGATCAATAGATAGATTCTTAAGATTCATTAAATATTACAAAATATAAAAAGAAAAAGAAAAATAAATAATATAAATTTATTAATAGTTCTATTAAGATAAAGAAATCCTAATTAAAAACAGTGAAATCAGATATATATGAAAGAATGACTCGATCTAAGGAAAAGAAAGAGCCAGAGATTAATGTGAAATAGGAAAATATAGATGTGGATGAAAAAAAGAATAAAGTAATTTCATAAGAATTAATAAAAGAGGAATAAATAGGAATTGAAAATTAATAGAATTCTCAAGAATTATTATACTAATAATATGAGTATTAATATTAGGCTTTCTAAAAGTTTTTATTAGAATATGGATAGCTTAACAAATAATAATAATATTAATAATAATAATAATATTAATAATAATAATAATAATAATAATAATAATAATAATAATAATAATAATAATAATAATAATAATAATAATAACTTATTGTAAATCAATTAAGTACTTAATAATTATGTCCAAGATGTTTAGGAAATTAAAACACTATGGGATAGTTGTATACATTAGCAGATATTAATAATTTATTTAAAATGTTTTAATATCAAATGATTATTCAATGTTAACCTAAGTTAGAGATGACTAGTGATGTCAACATGATGTAAAATCAAAGTTAACCAAATAAGCAATATAACAACTTGATATTGCAGTGACATTTGGTTTTTGAAACTCAAAAAGCCAATGAAAATGTTAAACATAATATTAATCAAATAATTTAGTTAACACATAATACAATATCATTCCTATTTGCCTTCCTTCATATCATATGTCTGCATAAGTTTAATTTGAGGAACTGGAAATTATGTAAGTTTGGCTGCTTTTTCTTCATCTGTCATTCCTTAAATAGAAGCTTAAACTGAAGCAATATTTTATTATCTCCATTTAGTATATTGTTTCTACATTTCATTATATTCTATCAAAGCAGCAGATAGATATCTAATATTATTTTCATTTAAGATAATTGTTTTTTTATTGTTTGGATTTCTGAACTCTATTTTTCTCTCATAAATCATTCTCTTATCCTTATCTATGTTTTAGTTTTTTGTTTATTCTTCACAAATTACCAAATCCTTAAATGAACCTTCAATTTTTAGTTTTTACT